AAGAAAACATTGGACTTACACTTCATGTTAGATCAGATGGATCTAACAAACATAGAACATTCCATCCACCAGCAGCAGAATGCACATTCTTCTCAAGTGCACACAGAAGGTTCTCCAGGATGGTTATATGGTTGACCACAAAACAAGTCTTAATAAATTTAAGATGATTGAAATCATATCAAGCATCTTTTCTAACCACAATGGTATGAACTAGAAATCAATTACGAGAGAAAAACTGGAAAATTTTCAAATATGTAGAGATTAAACCTTACGCTCCTGAACAAATAATTAGCCAAGAAGAAATCAAAAGAGTAATAGAAAATGTGAGACAAATGAAAAGGAAACACAACTTACCAAATTTATGAGATGCAGTAAAAACACTTCTAAGAGGGCAGTTTATAGCAAGAAGTGTCCACATTAAGAAAAATATCTAAAATAACCTAACTTCACACCTCAGAGAACTAGATAAAGAACAAATTAAGCTCAATGTTATTAGAAGGAAGGAACAAAGATCAACAGAAACAAATAAAATAGAAACGAGAAAGATAAAAGATCAATGAAACTAAGCTGTTTTTTTGAAAACATAAAATTAACAAACCTTTAACTAGACCGAGGAAAAAAGAGAAAACTCAAATATAATAAAAAATGAAAGTGGAGACATGACAACTATAATACAGAAATACTAAGGATCATAAGAAACTCCTATGAACAATTGTACACCAACAAATTGGACAACTGAGAAGTGGGTACATTTCTAGAAACATACAAACTACCAAGATTGAATTATGAAGAAATAGAAAATCTGAACAGACCAACAACAAGCAAGGATATTGAATAAAAAATGAAAACACCTCCCAACACAGAAAAGCACAGGACCAGATGGTTTTACAGGTTAATTTTACCAAACATTTTTTTAAATGTTTTTATTTATTTTTGGAGAGAGGACAAAAAGGGAAAGAGAAATATCAATGAGAGAGAGAAACATTTATTGGCTGCCTATTAGGGATCTAGCCCAGAACCCAGGCCTGTTTCTGAACAGGAATTGAACCAGTAACCTCTTGGTACATGGGACTACACTCAACCATGTTACACTGCCTGGGCTTTACCAAACATTTAAAGAAGAATTAATGCTACTCCTTCTCAAACTCTTCTAAAAACAGAAGAAGGAACATTTCCAAACTATTTTTATGAGGCTAGTATTACTCTGATACCAAAGCCAGATAAAGACACTGTAAGAACAGAAAATTATAGGCCAAATTTCTGTGTTTTTTTTTTCTTTTTCTTTTTTTAATCCTCATCTGAAGATATTTTTTCCACTAGAGGCCCGGTGCACGAATTCATGCATGGGTGGGGTCCCTTGGCCTGGACGGCGATTGGGGCTGATTGGGGCTGTCTCGCCCAGTCCCGATAGAGGCTGATCAGGGCCGGCTGGCGGGAGGAAGGGGGGGGAGGAATGGTGGGAGGTTGGCTGTGGGAGCACACTGACCACCAGGGGGCAGCTCCTGCGTTGAGTGTCTGCCCCCTGGTGGTCAGTGCACGTCACAGTGATCGGTCAATTGGTCGACAGGTCATAACGGTCTCTTAGGCTTATATATATAGATTGATTTTCAGACAGAGTGTAAAGGAAGAAGGAGTAGAGGGGAGAGAGAGAGAGTGAGAGAGAATCATTGATGTGAGAGGGACATACTGCTGGGAGCCGGTCCATCCTTGCTGTTTCAAAGGACCTGGCATATATGGCATACTGTTCTTAATATGTTTGCTCACCTTCTTGGCACTATGTGTTTTAACCAAGGTCTCTGAGAAAGGTTGTTTCCCCAGGTAGGGATTTTCCCCTGAAGTTAAGGAGGGAATAAAACCTCTTAACTAAGTGCCAGGCGGGTAATTAATCACTTTAACTATGAACAATCATGCTTAAGCTACATAATCTTTACTCCCTGGAATGGAGATAAGAAACGCCCTAACCTTTGAAATAGAGATTGATAGGATTGGAATCAACTGGTATAAATACAGATGTAAGAAGACAGAACGAAGAGAGACAGAACCTAGGCACAGAACCTACACAGAACGTTCTCTACAGACAGAAGAACTTCGCTGGAGAGAACATGGCAAAAGATCCTGGACTGAACCTGACTACAGAAATTGGCAAGAGAACCTGACTAGAACCTGGTGACTGAACCTGGCTGGAGAACCTAGCAAGAGAACATGGACACAGAACCTGGCTGGAGATCCTAATCCAGACCAGAACTTAGCTGGAGATCCTAAGCAGAACCTCTCTGGAGATCCAGACCAGAACTTGGCTGGAGATCCTGGCTAGAGATCCTGGCTAGGCTGCTGATCAACTGAACGCTGTCTCCATGTCATTCCTTCTTCGCCGACTCCGTCCACACCTTTGGGGACCCCTGGACCTGCTGGGGTTGGACCCCGGCAACATACCTATTGGTTGCCCCCTGTATATGCACTGACTGGGGCCTGGGATCAAATCTTTAAGATCAAATACAAGACAAGGATGCCCATTCTTCATTCTTGCCACTTGTATTCATCTGAAAGACCTAGCCAGAGCAGTTAGTAAATAAAGAAGAAAGAAGTCTCTATTTGCAGATGAGATGATATTATATACAGAAAACCCTAAAGACTGCACCAAAAGATTGCTAGAACTTATAAACAAATTTAGGAAAGTTGGAGGTATAAAATCAATATATAGAAATCTGTTGCACTAACAAAAAATTATCAGAAAAAAATCAGATACAGTCCCATTTTTAATAACACCAAGAAGAAATATTTAGGAGTAAATTAGCTATGGAAGTGAAAGATCTATACACTGAAAACTATCAAACATTAATGAAAAATTGAAGAAAACACAAATAAGTGGAAAATATTTTGTGTTCATGGATTGGAAGAATTAATAATGTTAAAAGATCAATACTACTCAGAGTTCTACAGATTCAATGCAATTCTTATCAAAATTTTTCACAGAAATAGAAACAAAATCCTAAAATTCATATGGAACCACAAATGATTCCAAATAGCCAATGCAATCTTGAAAAAAAAAAAAAAAAAAAGGTGGGCACATCACACTTCCTGATTTCTAACTATATTACAAAGCTATAGTAGTGTGGTACAGGTAAAAATAGATACGTAGATCACTACAACAGAATATAAACCCAGAAATAAACCCATGCATATATGATCAATTAATTTTGAACAAAGGAGCCAAAAATATACAATGGAAAAGAATAGTGGTGTAGGGGAAACTGGATATCGATATCTACATGCTAATGAATTAAAATGGACTCCTATTTTGCACTGTACACAAAAATCAACTCAGATTGGATTAAGACTTGTATATATGACCTGAAACCATAAAAGTCCTTGAAGAAAACATTGGGGATAAGCTCCTACTCTTGAGAATACCTATCGCTCAAGGGAATCTAAGGGGGAGGGTGCCATCTTTTCCAGTGTTGATATTGCTGGGTTCAACTCCCATCCTGATTCTACCCTGCTCCTTAGTCGTCATAGAAATGCAAATCAAAACCACAATGAGATGCAACCTCACACCTATAAGGATTCTATTATCATAAAGAAAAGATGTAACAAATGCTGGGAGGATGTGGAGAAATGAGAATTCTTGTATACTATTAACTTTATTAAAAATTGGCTCAGCCTGGCTGGCATGGCTCAGTGGTTGAGCCAGGACCTATGAACCAGAAGCTCACAGTTTGATTCCGGGTCGGGGCACATGGCTGGGTTGCAGGCTCAATCCCCGGTGTGGGGTGAGAAGAAGGCCGCTGATCAATGATTCTCTCTCATCATTGATGTTTCTATATTTCTCTTCCTTATCCCTTCCTCTCTGAAATCAATAAAAAAATATTTTAAAAATATTGGCTCAAATGGATCACAGTATAAATGTAAAACATAAAACTATAACACTTTTTTAAAAATCAAGGAAAAACTTCAGGATATAGAGTTAGGCAAAGAATTATTGAACTTGACACTAAAAGTAAAATCTATAAAACAAAAATTGATAAATTGGATTCTATCAAAATTCAGAACTTTTCCTCTGCAAAAGATCCTGTTAATAGGATAAAAAGTCAAGCTACAGATTGGGAAAAAAATACTTTAAACCACATATGTGACAAAAAACTAGGATATGTTAAAAAGCCTCAAAACTTAATAGTGTAAAAAAAAAAAACAATCCAATTAAAAATGGGCAAAAGACATAAAGAGACATTTCACCAAAGAGGAGTATGTACAGATAGCTATACATGCTGTTCCCTAGCCATTACAGAAATGCAATTGGAGACCAACATGAGAAATTACTACATACTTATCACAACAGCTAAAATAAAAATTAATGACAACGCGAAATGCTGGTAAGGATGCATAAAAACTACATTGCTGATGGAAATTAAAATGGTATAACCAATCTGGAAAACAATTTTGTCAATTTCTTAAAAAACTAAACATGCAACTGACATAGAAGCAATTACACTCCTGGTATTTATTACAGAGAAATGAAACCTGGTTATGAATGTTCACAGCAACTTTGTTTTTGTTTTGCCATTGATTTGTAGAGAGAGTGGAAGGGAGGGAGGGGGAGAGAGAGAGAGAGAAACATCATGTGAGAGAGACACATCCATGGGTTGCCTCCTGCATATGCCCCGAAGAATTTGGTTATGTCTATAGACTACTATTTTATAACTACTATTTTATATTCCCGTGTGCCACTTCATTTACTGCTGTGAGAAGTCGACTTCTAATTGTCCAAATTTTCCACAGTGCAAACCCTGTGGAAAGGAGCTACATCTACTAGTATTTTGTAGGCTCTGTGTTGAATGTTTGAGAGCACAACCGACTAAAGAGTAAATTAATGGTTTCACATTATGAAGGACAGTGCTATTTGTATGTATATGTATATAAACAGCCTTTGAGATATAATTCACATGTCATATAGTTGACCCATTTCAAGTATATGATACAGTGATTGGTTGTTTCTTTAACAGGGCAAAAAGGATGTGACCCAGATATTTAACAACATCCTGAGAAGACAGATAGGCACTCGATGTCCTACTGTGGAGTACATTAGTGCTCATCCTCATATCCTATTTATGCTCCTCAAAGGGTAAGTACATGGTTTCCTTCAAAGTAGGTTTGAGTTTAGAATAGTTGTTAAAAGTAGAACTTAATATGCATAGCCCATGGACAGATAATAGTGCAGGGAAGGCCTGGGGAGGACGGGGGAGGGAGGAGACAGTCAATGAGGGGAAAAGGGGACATCTGTAATACTTTTATCAATAAAGATAAAATTTTTAAAAAGTATATAGCATTAGCCTCATTTTGAGATATGATGGGTTCTCTTTTGTAATAACAGTAAAGGTATTTGCCATGCTTAAGGTCAGTCTTCCAAATCAGCATCACCATAATTACTTAGACCACAGCAAAAATCCTTTCTTTACATCTTTATATTCCTTTTTTCAATATTAAATTTATTGGGTGATATTGGTTAATAAAATTATATAAGTTTCAAGTGTACTATTCTATATTACATCATCTGTATGTTACATTCTGTGTTTACCACCCAAAGTCGAAACTCTTCCTGTCACCATATTTTGACCCCCATACCTTTACTACCTCCCTCCTCCCCACCTTTCCCCTCTGGTAACCACCATACTATTGTCTGTCTATGAGTTTTTGTATACTTGTCTTATTTGTTCATTTGTTGTTTTCAGTTTTCTATCCTACATGAGTGAAATCATATGATTCTTGACTTTTTCCATCTGACATATTTTGCTTAGCATGATATTCTTAAGATCCATCTATATAGTTGCAAATGGCAGTATTCCATCTTTTCTTATGGCTGAATAATATTCCATAGTATATATACCCTATCTTCTTTATCCACTCCTCTATTGAAGAATACTTCAGTTGTTTCCATTTCTTGGTCACTGTGAATAATGCTGCAATGAACATGGAGGCACATATATCGTTACGAATAAATGTTTTCAAATTTTCAGGTAGATACCCAGGAGAGGGATTGCTGGGTCACATGGTAACTCTAGTCGTAATTTTTTGAAGAACCTATTAAACATAGTATATACTGAATGTCCTAGCCAGAGTAATCAGGCAACAGAAAGAAATAAAAGACATCCAAAAAAAAAAAAAGACTTCCAAATTAGGATTGAAGAAGTAAAATTATCACTTTTGGTGGAAGACAGGATTCTTTATGTAGAAAACCCTCAAGACTCCCTTAAAAAACTATTAGAAACAATAAACAAATATAGTAAATTTGCAGGATACAAAATCAATGTACAAATATCCATTCCATTTCTCTATATAACAATGAAATTTTAGAAAAAGAAGTGAAAAAAATTCCTTTTGCAATTGCAACAAAAATAATAAAATACCTAGGAATAAAATTAACAAAAGATATGAAGGACCTATAACTGAAAACTATATTATTAAGAGAAATTGAATAAGACAAAGAAATGGAAAGATATTCTGTGTTCATAGATTGGATGAATCAACATTGTTAAAGTGGCCATATTACCCAAGGCAACATACGGATTTAATGCAACCCCCATCAAACTCCCAATGGAATTTTCTCTTTTTTAAAAAAAAAAAGAGTTATGATGATATTATATGGAGCTTTAAAATACCCCAGTCAAAAAAAAAAAAAAAAAAAAAAAAAAAAACGGGGGAAAGGGGCATTAGGGAGATAGATGAAAGAAACAGAAAAATATTGACAGTTGTTAAGGCTGGGTGATGGGTACATTTTTTTTTGTACTTTCTACTTTTTTACTTTTTTACTAGTATGGTTTAATAAAAACTTTTAGAAATAAGATTATTGGGAGGAATTTATGATTTTAATATTAGAATTCTGGCACATCTTCCACTGGTCATGATTCGTTATGGATCACTGAGAGAAGTTTAATAACCTCATCCTCAGGTTCTCTCACTACCCTGGAATGTCACTTATCTGGGCAAGGAGAAAAGTCCATTTAGAGAAAAGTCTTTACGCATAGTCTTTTCATAAAATTTGGGCTCCAAATCCTTTATACCATATTTTGTATCCCATATCCAGGTTAGTCTCTTTGGTGGACAAGTATTAATTTCTTTCTGACTTGTATTCTTTATGGTTAGACTTAGGTTCAATATGGCATGTTACTATCATCTATCTAAAGACAATTCAGTAAAAAAAATGCTGTTCTTTAACAAACTGTTAATTCCCTAGGATTTCAAGCTAAACTAGAAAGAAAATGGTGACAAGTAAAGTTGATTCTGATACAACTATTCCACTTAGGGCTTCTTGTTATCTGCCCTGTCTTCAGGGTCTCCTGTAATTCCCTCTTCCTTCACACTTAAACAGTCCTCAAATCTCATTAAAGATATTAATGGTAAAACAAACAAACAAAAAAACCCCACAAAACATGAAGTTTAGAAACAGATCTGGGTTGAAAACTTGCTTCTGTCGCTTACTAGCTGAATAACCTTGAGAAATCTAGCCTTATTTTCTCTAAGTTTCAATTTCATCATCTATAAAATGGTAAGAATAATACCTGGTTCTAAGTATTATTAAAAGGATTAAATGAAATAACATCAGTAGAGATACTAAATGCAATACCTGGAATATAACAAGTATACAATAAATGGTATCTACAAAACAGAAAGTGAAAAAATGGATTTAAAGTTTGGGTTAAAACATAAAAGAAGAAAAAAAAAGAAAAGAAAAACGTAAAAGGAGAATCACTATAATAGAGAATAAAAACCAGAGGAGTCATCACGAAATTGTTCATAATGGTTTCTTTGGGAGATATGCACTCCCTTTCTATATTATGCATTTCTAAAAATGTTTGAATTTTTAAATAATAAATATGTTATTACTTTGAATTAGAAAAAATTGAAATATTTAAAATATATATACTCTCTTCATTCTCAAAATTACCACTAAAGTTCTGACCCAAATTATCTCCTCTTGGACTCTTCCAAGCTGAAATCTCAGTTCCCCTACTCTCCAAGCCATTTTCCTCATTGCCACTCAACTGATCATATCTAGTTCCTGGGTAGTCTCCAAAGTCTAATATTTGTCATGGTTCCTGCCCTCAGGAACCTTATCTATAAGTAGAATAAATGAGATAAATATTTGTTCTTTACCAAACCTAAGGTTATTGTTATTGTGATTTTAAACTTAAGATAGGCTTAACTTGTGGACCACCTCTTTATATAATAGGCAATAAGCTATCGAAAGCCAATATCCTGGAGGGTAGTCAGATTAGAATGATATATGTTTATTACAGATCCCTTAAACCAGGAGTGGGAAACCTTTTTTCTGCCAAGGGCCATTTGAATATTTATAACATCATTCGCAGGCCATACAAAATTATCAACTTAAAAAAAAATTAGCTCATCCCTAATGCCTTGGCAGGGCCAGACCAAATGATTTCACAGGCCTTATACGGCCTATAGGATGGATGTTTCCCACCCCTGCTCTGAACCAACAGTCTTTATATTTTCTTAAGTCCTCTATGAATAAATGACAATGCTTTTCTCCTTCAATATTGTTCATTTTCTTAAAACCTTATTATATACTGTAGTATAACTCAAACCTAGATTTATTTCATTGTTAAATTTGACACTTAAAAAAATGTTATTAAATTAGAAATGGAACAGGTCTAGTATGCTATTCCTGAATTGTTCCCTACAATAGACATTGTGTTTTTCTAGTGTAGTTTTTTCTGTGAGCTGTAATTCTACTTCATGATTATAGTGAGTCAGTCAATCCAAAACTATTAATTACTGGTTATCTATTATATGCAAACTAGGGGCCTGGTGCATGAAATTCGTGCACTGTCACGCGGGGGCGGGGGTGGTCCCTCAGCCCAGCCTGCCCCCTCTCACATACTGGGAGCCCTCAGGGGATGTCCTAGTGACGGCTTAGGCCAGCTCCCTGCTCCCCTTGGGGAGCAGGCCTAAGCCGCAGTCTGTGGGAGGCGACTGGGCTAATCAGGGGAAGGCACCAGCCCCATCACCCCGCTGCTGCAGCCACTGCCAGTCACCGCAGCCACCAAGGTGTTTTCATTAACATGGACTCCAGTCCCTTCACCATGAAAAAATGACAACTTTCTTTAGGCATTTTCAAGATGTGTCTTTCATAGGATATGACATTTCTTTATTATTTTTTTTTATCCTCACCTGAGGATGTTTCCATTGATTTTTAGAGAATGTGGAAGAGAAAGGGAAAGACAGAGAGAAACATCAAAGTGAGAGGAACACTTTGATTGGTTGTCTCCTGCATGAGCGCTGACCTGGGCCCCAGCCAGGGAAGAGCCTGCAACATAGGTACATGCCCTTGGTCAGAATTGAACCCAGATCATGTGGTAGGCAGGCCGAGGCATTATCTACTGAGCCAAACCGTCTAGGGCAGGATGTGATATTTCTTAGCCCCTCCAGCAGCAGACCTTCGTTTTTTTCTCCAGGAGTGAGGTGGAAAAACCCTACATCACCTTCTTGGATTCTTATCACCCAAGTTACTAAGAATATTACCAGTGGCATACAGGGAGCTTAGCCAATGAGCGCTCAGAAAAGGTGTTTCCTCTGTAGTTCACACTGATCTCTGGCTCAGCCCTCGCCCAGGCCTAAGGCCTTAGGCCAGGCGTTAGGCCTGGGCAGGGGACCCCCCAGCCCTGTGCAATCGCCAACTCCGCCCCTGCCCAGGCCTCAGGCCTCTGGCTGGGGTGTTAGGCCTGGGCAGGGGACCCCCAGCCCGCTCTGATCGCAGGCTCCACCCCTGCCCAGGCCAGAGGGTGTTAGGCCTGGAAAGGGGACCCCCAGGCCGCTCCGATCGCCTGCCCAGGCCTAAGGCCTCTGGCCCGGGTCTTTGGTCTGGGCGGGGAGCCCCAGCCCGCTTCGATCACAGGCTCCACCCCTTCCCAGGCCTCAGGCCTCTGGCCAGGGCATTAGGCCTGGCAGGGAACCCCCAGCCCCGGGTGATTGCCGGCTCTGCCCCTACCAAGGCCTCTGGCTGGGGTGTCAGGCCTGGGCAGGGGACCGCCAGCCCCAGGCGATTTCTGGCTCCGCCCCTTCCCAGGCCTCAGGTCTCTGGACAGGCATTAGGCCTGGGCAGGGACCCCCAGCCCGCTCCGATGGCCCGCTCTGCCCCTGCCCAGGTCTCAGGCCTCTGGCCGGGGTGATCACCGGCTCCGCCTCCCCGGGTGGTGTCTGTCACTGCCCGCCCCACCTCCCCAGTCCCCGATCTGCGGCCTGGATTCTGCGGGCGGTGTCTGGCGCTGCCCACCCCACCTGCAGTATGCAAATTTAATGGCCAGCTTTGTTGGGTTAATTTGCATACTCTTCTGATTGGCTGGTGGGCATAGCGAAAGTACAGTCAATTAGCATCTTTGTCTTTTATTAGTGTAGATTATATATATCTATCCCTTATCTTTTTTCTGAACTCCAGATGGGTATATACTACTGCAAAGGTGATATCTCTAACTAGATATCAGGCATCTCAAAGTTAACATGGTCAAAGACAATCTCTTAATTTCTAACCTGTTCCTCGACTAGTTTATTCATTTTTAATGAATGGCACCACCATCTACCCAATTATATTTAAGCCCAAAACACAGAACTTATTCTTTAATCTTCAGTTTCACCCCAAATTGATTCCCCTGCCCTAGCTACATCAGCAAGTCCTGTTGACCCTTCCTTCAAACAATATGCATGACCTGAACCACAGCCAGCTATTTTACTACTACTACCCCAGTCCAAGCTACCATCATCTCTAGTTGGGCTTTCTTGCTTTAAACTCTCCAAAGACTTCCTATTGAAAGTCCTGTAGGTTATCAGGCCCCTGCCCTTCTCTGCACTCCTGCCACATTTCACACCATTCACTGCTCTTCCACTTGCACTTCAACTACACTGGCCTTCTCCTCTAACTCATCAAGCTGGTTCTTGCCTTAGAGCCTTTGTACAGTTAGTTGCCTTTGCTTGGAATCCTTTGCCTATTCCCTGGCGACACAATCTAAAGTAAATTAAATTAAGTAGTAGTTACACTCTAAATATACCTGTTGTTACCAGAGCCCTGGGTTCTAGGCTAGAAATAGAGTACCCACAGAATCATGACTCAGGTGAAGGTTCATTAAAGCTTTGTGCACAAAGGGAGACAACACTTAGAAAACAGGAAAGATGCTACTTTTTGAGCAATGGCTGGGGAGCAGTTTTAAAGGATTTTAGACAGGAAAGATGACATCTAAGTATAATGTCTAAGCATGTAGTGGTGGGGCTCTTTGATGCTTGCACAGTATATCATGTTTCTTCATGTGTCACATTTCTCATTAGCGTATTAAATCTCTACCCAGGGTGTGTTTTTTACTGTTATAATGTCGATAGGTCATGCAATAGTTGTTCTGGGGCTAAACTGCGCATGCATTAGGATTGGGATACTTTCCCCCAATAAAGCAGATCTCTGGCATTGCTTTGTCTGGCCTGTAATTGGGTGCAGGGTTTGAGGGGCAACCAAAGGAAATGCCAATCTTATCATGACAGGCTCAGCCTGTCACACTATTTTTATTCTCTTTAGTTTAAGAGCACTTCTCAGAAAATGAAGTTATCTTTTCATTTTTTATAGCCTGCCTCTTCCCCCACCAGATGTAACCTCTCTAAAATATGGAACAAGTGACCTTGACTAGGAAGCAAGTGACCTTGTCTGCTTACTGATGTACCCCCAGTACCTGGAATAATACCACACACATCATAGATGTTCAGTGGGCATTGGATGAATGGTGTTTGAAAGAACTATGACAAGTGCTATCTATGCCTCCATTAACAGCAGTATTGAAAAGGTTCTTTTGATACTATTAATATTATTTTGTTAATAGGATAACAGAGTTCTCTGTCTCTTGTTTATGCTTTAGATATGAAGCCCCACAGATTGCCTTACGTTGTGGAATTATGCTGAGAGAATGTATTCGACATGAACCACTTGCCAAAATCATCCTCTTTTCTAATCAATTCAGAGATTTCTTTAAGTATGTGGAGTTGTCAACATTTGATATTGCATCAGATGCCTTTGCTTCTTTTAAGGTAATTTTTTTTTCCTTAATAAAGTATATCACTTAGTTTCAGCATTTAGAGTCACGTGGCCTCTGAAGAAGCAATTTAATTTTAAAAAGCAGAAAATTCTATTCTTTGGCTTGGGCATAGACAAATGTGTATGATGTGGATCATAAGAGGCATTAGAAAATAGACTACAGTCTATTAGGCCAGTCTGCCACATCTCAACATACTGCCACAGCTAATACAGAATGAATTCCAATATATAAATAGGAAAAAACAGTACTCTATGTATGTCATACTTTTATTTATGTTAAAAACAAAGTGTATAAGCTTCCACTTAACGTGTATATGTATCAAATGCCTCTGGAGGGGTATCTGGGAAATAGAGTGTTTGCCTCCAAGGAAAGGAATTGGGTAGTGAAGGGAAGTGGAGAACTACATCTTTGAAAATGAAAGACATAATATTATTTTTATCAGTGTACTTTTAAAGTTCCACATGGTGGAACAAGCACTAATAAATTATATTGTATGTTTTTTATAATCTTACATATTCTTAGAAACTTTTTATATACTTTGTTATTATGTAGGTGTTTAATCTAACTTAGTTTTTAAATTAAAACATATTTTTAATTGTGGTAAAATGCACATAAAATTATCATTTTAACCATTGTTTAGTGTATACTTTAGTACATATTTATATTCATATTATCATATAACCAGTTTCTATTAAATAATTTTCCATTCCCCTCTCCCTCCAGCCACTGGCCACCACTTTCTACTTTCTGTTTCTATGAGTTTGATCGTCAAAAAGATGTTCAGAGAGCATATTAGAAAATACTGTAGCTAGTTTGCAAACTAAAATACTAGCACTTATACATCCAATGAATGATATCCCCTTCAGGTTTCTATTTTAGAAAGCCAGGTACTCATTCTTATGATTCTGTCATTGTTTAGTGTATTTGAAACTGGTATCAATGTTTGTGGCATGTTTATTTTTCTTTTTAAAAAATGTTTTTATTGAGTTTTAGAGAGAGAGAGGAAGGGAGATGAAGAAAGGAATAGAAACATTGATGAAAGAGAAACATCATTGATCAGCTGCCTCCTGCACACCTCCTATAGAGGATCAAGCCTGCCACCTGGGCATGTGCTCTGACCGGGAATTGAGCTGTGCCCTCCTGGTTCATGGGTTGATACTCAACCACTGAGCCATACTGGCCTGGCAGCATGTTCATTTTTCAATAATGGCAAATATTTAAAAAAAAAATACTTTTATTGATTTTAGAGAGGAAGGGAGAGGGAGAGAAAGATAGAAACATCAATGATGAGAGAGAACCATTGATCGGCTGCCTCCTGCATGCCCCCAACCATGGTTGAGCCCGCAGCCTGGACATGTGCTCTGACCGGTAATTGAACCGTGACCTCCTGGCTCATAGGTTGATGCTCAACCACTGAACCACGTTTGCAGGTTCAATTCCCAGTCGGAGCACATGCCCAGGTTGCGGGCTCATTCCCCTGTAAGGGGGCGTACAGGAGGCAGCCAATTGATGTTTCACTCTCACAATTGTGTTCATTTTTCAGTAATGGCAAATCTTTATGCTTAGAGGGCAGATAAAAGTTTTAGAAATAGCAAATAGCTATTTGACTTCCAGGTGGGGTAAAGTGGCCAATCAAATTAGTTAGAACTATATTGGGCTTTGGTTATAGTAATTATTGTGATAATAAAAAACAAATTTTAAAATAGCTAAAATGGAGCCTGATTTTCTTCATTGTCTAATAAATAGGCTTTCAATAGCTATATTAGAAGAGGAATTACAAACATATTTTAAGCTGATGACATAACAGCATCATTGAAAAAAAAGACTTTCAAGAAAGTTGATTATAAAATAGACAAGATCATTTAAATATACATATTCAAATTTGTTTCTTTAAAAGCATTTCAGCACTTTACTTGTTCTGTTTATATAATTCCAAACTACTTTTTTTTCAGGATATAACCATATATTTTAACTGTAATCCATATGTGACTTTTGATTTTTTATATATTATCATAAATACTGTTTCAGCCCTGAGCAGTGTGCCTCAGTTGGTTAGGTGTCAACCTGTGCACCAGAAAGTTACAGGTTCAATTCCCAGTCAGAGCACATGCCCAGGTTGTGGTCTCATTCCCCTGTAAGGGGGCGTGCAGGAGGCAGCCAATTGATGTTTCGCTCTCACAGCTCTCTCCCTCTCCTTTTCTCTCTCTCTAAAAATTAATTTTAAATCTTTCAATAAATAACTACATACATACATATTTCAACAATATTGACATAGTTCATATACTAATCTATACTAATAAAAGGGTAAAATGCTAATTAGACCAGACATCTTCCGGACAACCTTCTGGACATCCTTCTGGACAAAGCCACAGTGGTGGGGCCGAGGCAGAGGCAGAGGCAGAGGCAGTAGAGGGATTAGGCCAGCAGGCAGAGTGATTAGGGGTGATCAGGCAGGCAGACAGGTGAGCTGTTAGAGCCAGAGGTCCCAGATTGTGAGAGGGATGTTCCCGAGCGGTCCCGGTTTGGAGAGGGTGCAGGCTGGGCTGAGGGACACCCCCCCCTTGCACGAATTTCATACACCAGGCCTCTAGACTATATTAATAAAAGGGTAATATGCTAATTAGCCGGATGTCTTATGGTCATCCTTCCAGACAAAGCCACAGCAGCTGTGAGGGCTGAGGGCCAGTGGTGCAGGAGAGGCGGTGGCCTCAGGCCCGGTCCAGTCCCACCCGCGCCGCCGCCCCTCCTTCTGCAGAGGCGGCACTGGGAGAGGCGGCGGCACCATGGTCCCAGAGCCTCTGCAGAGGCTGGACAGGTTGCGACCACAGTGCCTCAACCTCCCCCAGCCCCTCCCCCAGCCAGCCTGGCCCCAGATCACCACCCTACAAGTGGGCGGGGGGGCGGGGCCAGCACTAAGAAGCAAGGGCCAAGGGCCCGCAGCCACGGAGGCCGGCTTTGGCAGCAGCAGTGGGATGATGGGGGTGGCACCTTCCCCTGATCAGCCAGTTGTCTCCCGCAGAGGGAAGCCAGAGGCAGCAGCAGTGGTGGGGTGATGGGGGTGGCACCTTCCCCTGATCCTCCTGGTCGCCTCCTGCAGAGGGAGGCCAGAATGCAGCTTAGGACATACCCTGAGGGCTCCCACACTGTGAGAGGGGGCAGGTAGGGCTGAGGGATCTCCCCAAGTGCACAAATTTTCATGCACCGGGCATCTAGTATTAACATATATTTTAATCTTGTTACTGTATGTAAACAATTATGATAAATAGTACTTTTTAATATCTCCCCACAGCCCTAGCCAGTGGATCATGCATCAGCCCGTGGACTGAAGGGTCGTGGGTTTGATTCCCAGTCAAGAGCACATACCTGGGTTGCAGGCTCAAACCCAGCCCTGGTCGAGGTGCCTGTGGGAGGCAACCAATCCATGGGTCCCTCTCACATTGATGTTTCCCTCCCTCTGTCTCTTCCCCTCCCTTCCACTCTCTCTAAAGATCAGTGGAAAAATATCCTCAGGTGAGGATTAATAACAACAACAAAAATAGCTCCCCAGAGGTAGAGAAAGGTGAAAGCAGTCATTGCTTGTACTGAAAAGTATATATTATCTATAGACTAGGAATTTACTCAGCCTGCTCTGAGAAGGTTCCTTAAATCTACTAAAAAGTATATTAGCCCACATGATGGCAGAGAGAATGTTAGAGGGAAGAAATAGAGGGAAGATTAGAGTGGAGCAGGAAGAAAGGGAAACTTCAGGAGAAGAAGAAAGGACCTGCAGGCTGGGCAGGGAGAGGGGCTTCCTTTGCCAAAGAAAAGAGAATGCTAGTCAGTGGACTTCACCCTGAAGATCGCCTGGTTAAGGGGTAGGCAAGGCTGGGTAGCTGCCTGTAACGCAATCTATGAAGGGAGCCACGATACCTCCGGAAATATAATGAAATGAGGAAAATTGAATTCATATGAACGGTCAGGGAGAATCCAATTGAGGATGACAGTTTGCTGTGGTACTTTTGTTTTAAGACAGGGTGTGCAGGTTTGTTTGGGACCAGGGCTGAATTGCCTGAGACAGTAAGTAGAGCAAAGGAGCTGCAGTCCCGTCGTCTCTAAAAGCTTGAGCCAAATCTGAAATAAAATATCAATCTAGAATCTGAGATTGAAGGAAGGATGGTCACCAGCCTGCTCAGGTTTTCCACAGGTCTCCATCCAGTCCTGCCTGCTCCCCAGATTCTCCCTGAGAAAACGGGAGAGAGGAAGAGCCCTTACCTGGAAGTCTGCGATAGATGGAAAAGAGCAAGGGAAAGAGAGAAGGGAAGAAGGAGAAATTAGGGAGAAGACAAGATGTAAAGAAAGGAAGAGGAAATCTAGAAAGAACAGCAAAGTGAGTGGAAGGAAGGAAGGGTTGGGGAGAGAGAGAGTTGACTGGTGGGTAGAGGGAAGGGGAGGGGGGAGGAAACATGGACATGTGTTCAGAGTGCTGTGAAACCCTAGGAGTCTTTTCATTTCACAGGCCTCTCAGTCTCACCTGGCAAAACAAAATGGTACAGTGACTACAGATGAACCCCACCTCCAAAAGAGTATATCTAGAGCACATGGTGAGAGCGGCCGTGGGGCATCAGATACGAAGAATGACATTTAACACAGAATATGATTTAATATTTTTCCAGCAAAATATCTGTGCATAAGCATCTTAGGAAATTTTTTCTATTAATAGATACTGTAATCCTATTTTTCCCTTTTCTATCTGATGATGGACACAGGTAGTTGCTTTAAAAAAAAACATAAGTAAGACTACACAAATAATTATAAACATAGTACAAATTTTAATGCAGATAAAAGCAAATACAGATGAATATGTATTTTTGGAAGTTTCCCCAAAGATTTTTCAACATTTAATAGAATAAACTATACTTGATAATAATGTCTTGTTATCATATGTTCAGCCCACTTTAATTTTCAGCACAATATTGACTCGCAAAAAATTCTGATGTTTTGATTTTTATTTCAGCATATTGTTTTGTTGAACTTAAAATTTAAATAACCGCCGAAACCGGTTTGGCTCAGTGGATAGAACGTCGGCCTGCGGACTGAAAGGTCCTAGGTTCGATTCCGGTCAAGGGCATGTACCTGGGTTGCGGGCACATCCCCAGTAGGAGATGTGCAGGAGGCGGCTGATCGATGTTTCTCTCTCATCGATGTTTCTAACTCTCTATCTCTCTCCCTTCCTCTCTGTAAAAAAATCAATAAAATAAAAAAATAAATAAAAAAAACAAGGGTAGAAAAAAAAAATTTAAATAACCAAAAAATTTTTCTAGTGTGCTATCAATATTGGAAATGCCAATTTTCTATGTTTTTCTAAAATTCTATGGTTAATCTATGTAACAATGACCTTAAGTCACTTTTCTTTTTTAAAGAAGCTGGTTTTAAGGGATATTGTTTATTTGGTTTGGTTTAAGTTCGGTTCTACATTAGTTTAGGCTTTGTGTTGTTGTTGTTTTTTTAAATATTCTTACTGATTTCAGAGAGGAAGAGAGAGGGTCGATAGAAACATCAATGATGAGAGAAAATCATTGACTGGCTGTGTCCTGTATGCCCACAATAGGGATGGAGCCCACAACCCAGATATGTGCCCTGACCTGGAATCAAACTATGACTTCCTGGTTCATAGGTCGATGCTCAACCACTGAGCCATGGTGGCTGGCCTGGGCTTTAATCTCTTAGACAAACCTCTTTTGTTTTGAGCTCCAAGATGACTGTTGCCCAATTTAGTCATTCATGTTTTAATGTTGTTAGTTTATGTTTTTGTCATGGTATTGTCTATAAATTGACCTTCCCCAAAAACGATTTCTTACAACCATGTTTTTTTCCATCCCCCCTCCAAGAATCAGGATGATTGAAGTAGTTTGAATTCCATCTCTCTGCCACCTGACTAGCTGTATGTCCTTGAGCAAGTTCATGTTTCTTATCTGTGCAATGAAGAAAATACTTCCTGCTTTGTGGAGTTGTGAAGATTAGAAATAATGTGTGTAAAGTACTCGGCACCCTTCCTTCCCCAGCATGTGGTAAACCCTTAACAAATGCAGCTGCTGCTGGTGGATCTAGTATCATGTTCATGCCATTGTGTATCTCTTAATTCCACCCACCACTAAAATATCAACATCCCATTTGTTTTTAAAGCATAATACTTATACTATGCAAAACTTAGATCTGTTAAACAGAATTGTTAGGAGGTGGGATGAAACAGTATATACTGTTTCAAATTTTTAAATTTTAAATTCTTTAAAATTTGAACTTTATTTTTATTTGCAATTTTCTGCTTTTTCCTTTTTGGGTAAAATCCTAGCTAGTTTCTTTTTTCCCCACTCCATTATATGCTCTATAATAATGCTGCAATTATATTTGTCTATGTATTATGTGTATATATGCACGTGTTTATGTTCAGCAGGTTCTCAAATAATGTCACCTATATATATAATCTATATACATAAAAGGCTAATATGCTAGGTGTCCCTCTGCCCATCTGACTGGTCACTATGATGCGCACTGACCACCAGGCGGCAGATGCTCAACCCAGGAGCTGCTGAGCTGCAGTGACTTGGCAGCAGCAGTTCTCAGGTGACACACCCCAAAACCAGAGAGGAGGAAGCCCGATTCCTCGTGGGGCTGTGTAATTCCAACTTCGGCCGTGGTTTATGTTGTTGCTGGGGCACTGTTGGCCTCGAATCTGGTTTACTGCACACTTATGTTTGCATTCCACACCCTGTACGACAGCAACTTTGCAGAGTGCCCTCTTGCACTTGGGGACCCCTCGGGGGATGTTGGAGAGCAGGTTTCAGCCCGATCCCCACAGGCCAAGCTGAGAGACCCCACCTGCCAAAGTGACCCCGCTCCGCAGATGCCAGGGAGGGAGCATGGGAGGCTGGCTCCAGGGTGTGTCCAGCCCATCTTGCCCAGTCCCACCCTGCCAGCTACCTTCTAATTAATTTCCTTTCAATGTGCACCAGGTCACTAGTTTCATTATAACATTGTTGAGATGCTATAGGAACTTAACTCTTACTTATGTCAATTAGCCTATGGTAGAATTGGTTGGTTTGTTTTTTTGTGTATGGGGTTTTTTTTGGTGGGGGGAGAGGGGGCTTGGTTAATCTTCACCAGAGGATATATTTTTCATTGATTTTTTTAGAGAGAGACACATTGGTTGTCTCCCGATCAGGGCTGGAGAATTAAACCTGCAACCCAGGTATGTGCCCTTGATTGGGAATTGAACCTGAGACCCTTCAGTGCACTGGCCGATACTCTATTCACTGAGTCACACCAGGCAGGGCAAAGTTGGTTTTGTTTCACTTAAAGTTACAGAACTTAATGACAATGTTAAGTGAGGACTTACTGTATATACATAGTATAATCCCTCCAGTTTTGTGCATACATTTATTATATACATAAACTAGAGGCCTGATGCATGAAATTCGTGCAAGGGGCTCAGCCCTTGCAGCCCCAACTTTATCTGGAAGGTAGTCCGGATGGTTGTTCTGCTGTTTGGTCTAATTAGCATATTAGGTCTTTATTATATAGGATGTTAGGGTATAGCTATGAATATATAATATATGCATACTCAAGTGTAAGAGCATGTGTGAGAAAGAATACAAATCATTTAATGGTCGTATCCATTATATACATGTGCTGGAGAAATTCTATCCTACCATATTCTTCTATTATTGAATTTTTAAGTTATTTCAAATTTTTTCCCCTTAGAATTTTGAAGGAGAGGTTACTAACAGAGCTCCCTCCTGATTCTTTGGTGTATTACTAATGTGTAGTGAACAGAACATCTTTCCAGGCAGCATGCAGTGGCAGAGTGCTTTTTGTGTTGCTACTGTTGCTGCATGTGCAGGCTCTGGGGCAGAGGGAGAACATGGGCCAAACTCTCAAGGCTGACAACTTGTGGCGGGTGGAGAACTCCCATGGTGCATCAGTCCTGGGTCAGCTCAGAAAAATCACTGATACTGCTGAGGAGCTTTAGGAAAGGGGTTGTCTGCAAATTAGGTATTCCAAATATCCATCTAGGAAAAGATTAGGGACCCCAAAGGAGGCTGTAGGACTACCTTACTCTCTCAAGGGTCTGTGATAGAGGAATAGTTTGAATTTTTACTTCAAACAGGCCATGACTGAATCTCTGTAAAAGATCCCCCCATTTTTTATCCTCACCCAAGGATATGTTTTTTATTGATTTTTAGAGAGACAGAAAAAAGGAGAGCTAGAGAAACATGGATGTGAGAAAGAAACATCGATCAGTTGCCTCCTGTACACACTGTACCTAACTGGGGAATCGAACCTGAAACTTTGGTGTGTACCCTGATCTGGAATTGAACCCATGCTCCAACCAACTGAGCCACCCAGCCAGGGAAGTTTTCAACTTTGAAAGGGTGCATTGTGCTAATGTGTAACTCACAGCCCATTAACCCCAGAGCAGGACAATTTGAGATGGCCCCCGTTTTAAAAATTACAGTTCCAGAACAGCACATTTGTTTGGCTTCAGTGTTCTACAGGGAAAAAGTACCATATTTCCACTGATAGGCCCAATGGTCAATCATGAAATGAAGTTAGTCTCATTGTTTTTGAACTTGAAAATTATAATACAAAATGCTTTAAATATTTTAATTTTTATTAAAATAGAAATATATGGATTTTACCATTGCTGCTGCCTTCTTTGTGAGATTATTGTATCTTCTATATGCTTTTAGGAAGTTTTAATTAAATATGTACTAAAGTATAAGAATTTATTTTGGAAAATTGTGAAATTCTTGTTAGGTTTTTAATTAAATTTTGAATGAAACCTAAATAGGGTATTTAGCCTCTAAGCTTATAAAAGGGATTAGGTGAAGCTTGTTTTCTTTCCACATTAAGGTGAATTAAGGATATGATTTAGGTGTGATTTGAAAACAGTCAAACGTTCCTTTATGCTTTTGTCCAGTTTTCTGAGAGTTATGTCTGTAATAAGATCAGGCTGCTTGTCTTCAACTTTGAAAGGGTGCATTGTGCTACTGTGTAACTCACAGCCCATTAACCCCAGAGCAGGGAGATATGAGATGGCCCTGCTAAATGTCATTCTTGTGCTTCCCAGCATCCTAGGCAACTCTATTTTAAAAGTGGTTAAGAAAAAAACTAAAGCTTAAAATCCTTTAAAATCTGTTAACTTATGAGATATGGTTTTAGTCCATTAAAAAAATGATTAGTTATTAATGATACTTTTAAAAGATCATAAACTTTATTTGAATATTATATCGTATGCACAATGTAGAGTTGTGGCTTGAAGAAATTATTCTGTAAACTCATCTCTAAAATACCATTTGTTTTAGTAACTAAATTATTTCCATAATTTAACAATAATATAAATTTAAAACACACTTGTTTTTAACATGAAACAAGCTTGTGTTTCACATCTTAAACTAAGAATGGAAATAATTTTCTGATATAAACAAAAAGTTTCTTCTGAAACTTACATGTTTCAAATTAGTGGACTTATTAAATCTTAGAAGGAAAAGACAGAATTTTAAAAAACTTTTTAGCTATGATCATTTTGTTTCACTTGTTTCTTCTTTCTCTAGGATTTACTAACCAGACATAAAGTGTTGGTAGCAGACTTCTTAGAACAAAATTATGACACTGTAAGTAGAAGTTATTTTTAAGTCTTACCTTATTCTCTCCTCCCTCCCTCCCTCCCTCCCTTCCTTCCTCCCTCCCTCCTTTCCTTTCTCCCTCCCTCTCTCTCAAATTTATGAGCACTTATTCCTGTTTATCATCCACTATAGAAATCCACCATGTCAACCATACATCCAATTGGTCTTTTACCCAGAAGCCAGGTCATCAGGAAACCTTATGGAAAATTGGCAATGGCAGGAGATCAGGGCTTTCTCATTTTTCATATCTCTTCCTAGTGTTATGCTCTGGAGCTCCAAGAAACAACTAGCACCTGCTCACCTTGATCTAGACTTAAGAGCATCCATGTTGCCCTTAAGAGCCAGTAGGTAACTCTTCCATATGGAAGAACACCCAACCCTTACTAAGATAAGTCATTTGACCTGGTCAATAATTAGTTTTACTTACTAGTAGAAATACCAAAATATTTCTATTTTCTGACTCCCTTCTCTAATGGTGAATCCAGCTCATCCTTTTGTCATTTGGATTAATGTGACACTTCTAGCAAGCTTTCGCTAACACACCCTTACACAGTCACATCCTTACGCGCGCGCGCGCGCGCGCGTGCGCGCGCACACACACACACACACACACACCCTCCTGACCTCCCTCCCCTGCCCCTCTCTCACTGTTTACCGTGTATTATTGTGTTGTGGCTGCATCTAACTAGCCAGTCCTTGAGCTCCCTGAGAGGCAGAATTTTATCTGTTGAACACAAAGGTTCAGAGTACAATATAGATTTTAGAGTCTGCTTGTTTGGCTTCAAGACCCAGCTCTCCCTCTTACTAATTGCGTGACCCTGGGCAAGTTCCTGTAACTACTTGAAAATAAACATTTTAATGCCTACCTCATAGGGCTGTGGTAGGAATTTGACAAGATTTGAAGTTTTCAAGATAGTACCATGGTAAGCACTCAGTATTAAGTTTTATCATTATTACTTGTATCCCTAATACCTAGAATAAATAATAAGTCCTTCATACATAATAAGTCTAGTTACTGTGACTTTAATGTGAACTACATGCTTCTTTTATACTTTTCACTTTCTTAATTCTCTCAGTAATTATCATCAGTGTGCTCAGCTTGCCTTCATCTCACTCGAGCACACACGCATTCCTCCCACTTGGCTCTCTGAGGACCAGAACTGTTTTGTACCTTCTTCAGCCTCTGAGCACTGTAGCTTTCAATTCTCTGCTCGTCTTGCTCCTTCCACCTTAGTAATCCCTGAGTGCATCAACACATGGTGGGAAGTTGACACTGAGCTTCCCCAGCTGCTGGCTTCCTGAATTGATTGAAGGGCCTAAGTAATGATTGATGTTCGACCACAATAGGAAACAGGGGCTCCAAACACCAGTGTCCCCCAACCTCTGGGGAGAGTAGAGGTGCTCCAGAGAGGCTAGTTGGGATTGGCATTGCCGTCTTGCAGCAAAAGTAGCCCTAGTTCCTCTACATCAGTGGTTCTCAACCTTCCTAATGCCGTGACCCTTTAATATAGTTCCTCATGTTGTAGTGACCCCCAATTTCATTGTTACAAATTGAACATAATTAAAGCATAGCAATTAATCACAAAAACAATATGTAATTGTATATATGTTTTCTGATGGTCTTAGGCGATCCCTGTGAAAGGGTCGTTCAACCCCCAAAGGGGTCGCAACCCACAGGTTGAGAACCGCTGCTCTACATGTTCATGCTATGAATTTGACAATTTGATTTTTAATGAGTTGCCAGGTGAAACCCTAAATTATTTAATCTTTCTCAAATTATTCATAGACTACCAGCAAGTCTACATAAACAGATTTCTTTAATATGGCATAAAATGCGTTGTCTTGCAACTCAATAGATGTTTTATTCAAAATGATTTATTATGAGTATTCAATTACTACATTTTTCTACCCTATTTATAATTTGCAGAACTAAAATAAAATAGAGAAGTATGTCTCTTGTATCACTTGACCTTCCCACTCTCGATGTCTTTACGTGCAAAAGAGGATGGGGAAAGGGGAACCTCCCAGTGGACAGTGGTGGTCAGTCGTTAAACACACAGAGATAGAAAGCACAGCAGCTGGGCTGCGCTGGACTTGGGGATTGGGGATTTACTTACTTCTGAAGCAAGTACGCAAACCTAATGCAGAGAAATAACTATTAGTTTTACACTGTAATATTTTTTTTTCATTAGATTTTTGAAGACTATGAGAAATTGCTTCAGTCTGAGAATTATGTGACTAAGAGACAATCTTTAAAGGTAATATCAAATTTAACTTAGTGTCTCCATAAATTGATGTCTTGGTATTAAATGATTGGTTTATTTGTAAGCAAGTAAATATAGAAAAATTTAAGTGTCCTTTTTGTAACTTGAGAAATAGTTTATGTTACAACTATACTTTATAGCAAAATAATGTAAGTGTCTTGCCTCAAATACTTTTTAGAAGTAACTATAAATAATAAGTATGTGCTACTATACAAAAAGTGTGTTGTGTGTGACCACAACTTGAGATTACTAGTATATCTCAATTTGAGATTATATCTCCTATGAAATTCCTGTGGAAATGCCATTCTCCCTCATCAAACAGGGAGCCCAGCAGAGCAGGGCTACATCTGTCTGTGAGTGGCCTTCCCTCCCTCAGTGAAAAGTGCCTGGAAGCAGCCATTTATCCAGGAGGGACATTTCTTGCGTATTCTGCCCAGATACAGTAAACCCTTAATTTTTCAGACTTTGATTTAATGAACTTCAGATTTAACGGATAAAATTTCTGGTCCATATGTCATGTGTGAAAATTAATACCCTGATTATTTTAAAATGCTTTTAACTAAGATTTGCTTATAATTAACAGGTTATTTTGTTATTCATTCACTGTTATTTTTAACAAATTTTAGCGAATAGTCCATATGTTGGGAAAAACACTAGTAATTTTGTTGAAATAAATATTATATACCTACAATTATAGTCTACATATTTAAATCCAACAGTCACCACCCATAAACAGTGTTCAGCGAATGATTAGCATGTGATCACACCTCATGCATGGTCATTGGTTCTGTTGTCCAATGGCATGACTTTCTGCAGCAGCTTTAACTGATGTTCCCACCTGTGCTAAGCCACACCCCACCATGTGCAGTTGTTTACTTGAGGTGACTGGTGAATGCATGCATTTACTAGATCTATTCAGTATAAATTTAAAATTACAATAATACATATAGAAAACTTTTCTGTGAAATTAAACTCTTCATGATTACTTAATTTTAGTTACACAAACATCCTATCTAATAAAAGAGAAACATGGTAATTGGCGTACAACCGCTACCCTTCCCATTGGCTAATCAGCAAGATATGCAAATTAACTGCCAGCCAAGATGGCAGCCGGCAGCCAGGCAGCTTGAAACTAACATGAGGCTTGCTTGCTTCAGTGATGGAGGACTCCAACATTCCCCGCCTGCCTTGCAGGCCTCTGAGCCTGCAGTTTAAGAAACACTGTAACAAATATAGAAGCTAAACAAAACCCCAGAAACCAGCTTTCAGCGAGCCTGGGATCTCAGAGCTAGAGTTGATACAGAGTTTCGATTATAGAACCTAAACAAACCAGATACCTACTTTCAGCAGCTAGGTCTCAGAGCTGGAGCCAGAGCTAAAGCTGGCCCAGAATAAAAAAAAAAGGAGCGGTTGGGAGCTTCAGTCCCAGCCTGAAAAAGGCCTCAGCCCCTCACCCAGACTGGCCAGGCACCCCAGTAGGGACCCCCACCCTGAAAGGTGTGTGACCAGCTGCAAACAGCCATCATCCCCTCATCCAGGCTGGCCAGGCATCCCAGTGGGGACCCCCACCCTGATCCAGGACACCCTTCAGGGCAAACCAGCCAGACCCCACCCATGCACCAGGCCTCTATTCTATATAGGAAAAGGGTAATATGCCTCCCAGCACCGGGATCAGCGTGACAGGGGGCAGCGCCCAAACCCCCTGATCGCCCTGCGGCTCTGTGTGTGACAGGGGGTGGGGCCACAACCTCTCTATCGGCCATGCTCTGTTCCTGACAAGGAAAGGTGCCCCAACCCCCTGATTGGCCCAGCTCTGTGCCTGATAGGGGGAGCTCCCCAACCCCCTGAGGCTCTGTGTGTGACAGAGTGCGGCGCCCCAACCCCCCCACCCCACGGGCCCTGCTCTGTGTGTGACGGGGTAGAGCTATAACCTCCCCATCGGCCCTGCCCTGAGTGTGACTGTGGCGGCACCCCAACCCCCTGATCTGCCCTGCTCTGTGTGTGACAGGGGTGGTGCCCCAACTCCCCTATCGGCCCTACTCTGTGAGTGACAGGGGGGAGCTCCTCAACCCCCTGATGGCCCTGCTCTGTGCGTGACAGGGGGGAGCTCCCCAACCCCCTGGTGGGCCCTGCTCTGTGCGTGACAGGGGGGAGCTCCCCAACCCCCTGATCGCCCCTGCTCTGTGTGTGACAGGGGGGAGCTCCTCAACCCCGATTGACCCTGCTCTGTGCATGACAGGGGGTGGTGCCACAACCTCCCCATCGACCCTGCCTTGAGTGTGACAGGGGCAGTGCCCCAACCCCCCAATCAGCCCTGCTCTGAGCCCGACCAGGGGCTGCACCTAGGGATTGGGCCTGCCCTCTGCCACCCAGGAGCAGGCCTAAGCCAGCAGGTCGTTATCTCCCGAGGGGTCCCAGACTGCGAGAGGGCACAGGCCAGGCTGAGGGACGCCCCCCCCCGAGTGCACAAATTTTTGTGCACCAGGCCTCTAGTCTACACTAATAAAAGAGAAACATGGTAATTAGTGTCACTCCGCTACCCTTCCCATTGGCTAATCAGCAAGATATGCAAATTAACTGACAGCCAAGATGGCGGCCGGCAGCCAGGCAGCTTGAAACTAACATGAGGCTTGCTTGCCTCAGTGACGGAGGAAACCAACGTTCCCCGCCTGCGGCTGCAGGCCTCAAGCCTGCAGTTTAAGAAACTATGTAACAAATACCGCCAGGCTTCAGCCAGTAGGATTGCAACATTGTAAGCAAAGCCCAGAAACCTACTTTCAGCAGCGGAGGCCTAAGAGCTGGAGCCAAGCCTCAAGCTAAAGCTGGCCCAGAATAAAAAAAAAAAAAAGGAAAAAAGGAGCGGTTGGGAGCTTCAGTCACCCCCAGTCTGAAAACAACCCTCAGCCCCTCACCCAGACTGGCCAGGCACCCCAGTGGGGACCCCCACCCTGAAGGGTGTGTGACCAGCTGCAAACAGCCATCATCCCCTCACCCAGGCTGGCCAGGTACCCCAGTGGGGACCCCCACCCTGATCCAGGACACACTTCAGGGCAAACCAGCCGGCCCCCACCCGTGCACCAGGCCTCTATGCTATATAGTAAAAGGGTAATATGCCTCCCAGCACCGGGATCAGCGGAGCCGCGAGGCCTCCCGGCACTGGGATCAGCGTGACAGTGGGCAGCGCCCAAACCCCCTGATCGGCCCTGCTCTGTGTGTGACAGATGCGGCACCCCAACCCCCCCACAGTCCCTACGGGCCCTGCTCTGTGTGTGACAGGGTAGAGCCATAACCTCCCCATCAGCCCTGCTCTGTGTGTGACAGTGGTGGTGCCCCAACCCCCTGATCCGCCCTGCTCTGTGGGTGATAGAGGGCGGTGCCCCAACCCGCTGATCCGCCCTGCTCTGTGTGTGACAGGGGACGGTGCCCCAACTCCCCTATCGGCCCTACTCTGTGAGTGACAGAGGGGAGCTCCCCAACCCCTTGATGGGCCCTGCTCTGTGCATGACAGGGTACGGACCCCCAACCCCCCTGATGGGCCCTGCTCTGTGCATGACAGGGTATGGAGCCCACCCCCCTGATGGGCCCTGCTCTGTGCGTGATGGGGTGGCACTGCAACCTCCCCATCGACTCTGCCTTGAGTGTGACAGGGGGCGGTGCCTCAACCCCCCAATCGGCCCTACCCTGAGCGTGACTGAGGGTGGCATCGCAACCTCCCAATCTGCCCTGCTTTGTGCATGACAGGGGGCGGCGCCCCAACTCCCCAATCGGCTCTGCTCTGAGCCTGACCAGGGGCTGCACCTAGGGATTGGGCCTGCCCTCTGCCACCCGGGAGCAGGCCTAAGCCAGCAGGTCGTTATCTCCCGAGGGGTCCCAGACTGGGAGAGGGCACAGGCCAGGCTGATGGACCCCCCCTCCCCCCCAAGTGCATAAATTTTTGTGCAGCAGGCCTCTAGTCCTATCTAATAAAAGAGAAAGATGGTAATTGGCGTACGACCGCTACCCTTCCCATTGGCTAATCAGGGAGATATGCAAATTAACTGTCAGCCAAGATGGCGGCCGGCAGCCAGGGAGCTGATGCAAACAGGGAGGCTTGCTTGCTTCAGTGATGGAGGACTCCAATGTTCCCTGCCTGACTTGCCGGCTTCTCCGCTGCAACTCTAAGCAACTATGTTGCAAATATAGAAGCTAAAAAAAACCCAGAAACCTGCTTTACTCAGCCGGGCTTCAGCCAGTCGGACCGTAACATTGTAACAAATACAGACAGTAAACAAAGGCCAGAAACCTGTTTTCAGCAGCCGAGGCCTCAGAGCTAAAGCTGGCCCAGAATAAAAAAAAAAAAAGAAAGAAAAAAAGGAGCGGTTGGGAATTTCAGTCACCCGTCAGCCTGAAAACGGCCCTCAGCCCCTCACCCAGACTGGCCAGGCACCCCAGTGGGGACTCCCACCCTGATCCAGGACACCCTTCAGGGCAAACCAGCCAGCCCCACCTGTGCACCAGGCCTCTATTCTATATAGTAAAAGGGTAATATGCCTCCCGGCACCAGGATCAGCGGAGCCGCAAGGCCTCCCAGCACCAGGATCAGCATGACAGGGGGCAGCGCCCAAACCCCCTGATCGCCCTGCGGCTCTGTGTGTGACAGGGTGCAACGCCCTAACCCCCTGGTCGGCCCTGCTCCATGGGTGATAGAGGGCGGCGCCCCAACCCCCCTCCCCCACGGGCCCTGCTCTGTGTGTGACGGGGTAGAGCCCTAACCCCCTGATCGCCCTGCTCTGTGTGTGACAGGGTGCAGCGCCCCAACCCCCTGATCGGCCCTGCTCTGTGGGTGATAGAGGGCACCCCCCCCCACACACGGGCCCTGCTCTGTGTCTGGCGGGGTAGAGCCATAACCTCCCCATCGGCCCTGCCCTGAGTGTGACAGTGGCGGTGCCCCAACCCCCTGATTGGCCCTGCTCTGTGGGTGATAGAGGGAAGCGCCCCAACTCCTGATCCACCCT